GTATGATGGAAGTTACTGAGTTAATAGAAACTGACTTGAACGACATAGAAAAAGAAACACTACTAGAGTCTATGCTAGAAAACAAACTGAAAGTGAGAAGCGCAATAAACTGCTTGTCATGGCCTCCGGTACTTTAACCAAAGACTTTTATTTCCTACACACCCTCACACCATATAGACGTGCACTCGACCTATAAATATGTAGTAAGAACAGTACTGTATGATGGCAAAAAGTCTATACAAAGCTGGACAAAGTTAGCATACAACAGTTTTCCTTCATATGTAATCAAACGTTCTTCATCACACTTCTCAGTTGTCAGAACAGTGTTTTAACAAAGTGGGGAAGTGTGTCAAATGCTAATTATAGAATTTGGTGTCCAGCCGGGGTGACGGTGGATACGAGGAGGGAAGGGAGGGTGTAGGCCCATTGTTTTCGGCCCAGACTCTGACAGTCGAGAGCCTATCGCTCCTTGTTATAATTCTCCTTATATATCTTCACTAGACGATTCCTCTTTTCGCCGACTAGACTCATATGGGCCAGGTACGTTATTATTAATGGGGAGAAAACGATGAATAGCCACCAAGCAGGAACTATTCGTGGCTAAAAATTCAGTAAACAAAAAAAGATTAGTGCCATGCTGACAATAAATGCTCTGATGATAGGTAGAGAAAGGCTGAATGATAAGTACGTGTATTGCTGATAAAATATTTCATGTGTCTGTGCTGCTCAACACTCAAGACAGTCTCTTTACTGATTTTGTAAGCAGCACGGGGGCCCGTTTGGCAATCAAGGGATGCTATATTCGCTCTTAGAGCAGTCGATGGATTTGCCCAGCGGACTGCCGTCATCGCTGTACCCGCCGTGTTCGTTTATCCTCGTATGAAGTTCCGCGACGTGACGGCAAGGCGGGAGACGATTTAAAGTTACGAGCTGGTGCGATAAACAAAGGAGAAGGAATGAGGCTATGTCGCGACAAAACAGCAGTGAATCCCACTTGTCTATTTGAACGCATTCAAATCGGCAAGGTGATTTTTGAAAGTTGATA